TGTGTATTTAGTATTAAGTCCCATCCGCCATGCCAAAATTACAGCCAAAACATGATTTCTCTGAAAACTTATTGGATCATTAAATCATTCAGGAGTGTCTCTTTTACTATGTTCAGTAACACAGAGGATACCATTCAAAGAAAAAATTTAATGGGAATACACAAACACACTTCACTTCAGACACACTGAGATGTACTGTGAGAGTAAAACATATTTAAATACAAATTAGATTGTGCTCAGTTTTTGAGCCCGTGTTTAATTTCCTATCTGTAACGTGCATCATTAATGTGCTGCAATGGTTGCATTGTTGCTGCTTCCTTCATTACCCTTCATTATTTCTCAAGGACTTCAGCGCAGATGAAACCTCAGCCTACTGGGGTTTATACAAGCGTGAGGGCAGGTGTTTGTGTACACTTTTGCACGAGTGTCTGTTGTTTTTATGCACTTGTCACTCCATTTTCTCATTTCCGAAACACAATAATGAGTCAAGATGAGCTTGTGAAAGCATTGGCAGTGCAGCTCAGCCTGACTCCCCACCTGGCCAGCTCCTCCTAGCCTGTCCCTTTATTAGCTTCCCCTCATGCTGGACACAACAGGAACAGCTTGGTACCCTCCCTCCTCTCTTCACCACTCACACCTCTCCCAACTCTATTTTCCTGCTAATTACCTTGTTGTACGAGCACCAAATGCTACCTAACGATTCACTTAATTGCAGAAGTGGTACATTAGATGATATCAAAGGACCTTTTTAAAAGTCATCCAATCCCATTCCAAGCGGCATTTAGAACCAACCCAAGACATCTGTTTCATTTCTGTGTCATTTGCATTTTTAAAGGTTACAAACTGAACAAAGCAACGATACAGATCTACACCTCAAGATTCTGTGTTTTCATTCCCTTGCGATGCCTCTCCCGCCTTACAATTATACACATTTAATACACACACAATCACATACATGTCAGAGGACCTGGGTCACATTCAACACTCAATTAAAAGTGCAACTGATCACCCTACATGCTTTTATCTAGAGCACTACGTACGCGTGCTACCCATCCACCTGAAAAGATGGGGCTAATTAACATTTTCCTATCGCCCCAGGTGTGCCTTGTCACACTTACATATACACCGATATCTGCAGTGCTAGCAATTTATTCAGTAGCAGTGGCTGCAGCTAGCATTTCTGACACAGGCTTCACAATGATTTATGAACCTGCTCATTGACCTAGTTTATTCTGAAAAAGGAAAAGGGGGCACATCTCCTCGTATATGCGGCATATCCATGCCATGGAGCCGGCCTGCAGTCAGTGGAGAGCATGGGAGGAGGAAAAAGATTACAAAGCAGACTGCTCAGACACCCTCTAGGCAACACGTTTACAAGTTCTCCATCTTCTGAAGTACAACACAGTGAACAACAGCTATAATGAAATCTTTTCCCAAATGCAGAAAAGTGATGTCTAAGCATTAACCTCCAACTCTGCACATGCACCAAGGACTTTGATAACATAAGGCAGTGCATGCTCTTGTCAACCCATTTGTGAACAATGTGTGCTCAACATCTAACAGCACTAAAAGGAAACATGTTTAAAAGACTAAGCCCAGTAACCGCATCAGTCCCCTCAATCTGGCCCACATTAATAATGCAGAGGCACCTCTCAGAGGCCTCTTCCCCCTCTTCCTCTCCAGTCTACCTTTCCCCATCTAACAGAGAGAGTGGTGAGTGCTGCCCAGCTTGATGTCCAGCATGCAGCAGTGCCACTATGCTCACTGGACACTGAGTTCAATCTGTTTCAGAGCTGCAATTCAATTATCTCACCAGGGTTCTGCTCAACCACTCGTGAACGGAAGGGGGGCAAAGGTGTGTTCAATATGAGGGAGGGAGGGAGACAGAGGAAGGTGAAAGGCGGGGGGTGGGGGCAAGATATATCATTAACACAAACCCAGTTCAACATGGATATAGATTTAAATGCTGCTTTTTCCTGTGCGATTAGCTTTGGCTTTACAATCACTAGACGGATGTCAGGACCTGATAAAGCTAATCACTGCAGTAAGCCAATGCGGTGGGATTTAGCACCCCACCCCCTTCTGCCCCAGTCCCCCTAAAGACCTGGCTGAAAGAGAAAGCTGAGAAAGCCCTGGGCCCAAAACAAGCTGGGCATGGAGTGCTCCACAAAATGACCCTCCCCCTTTGGGATCTACGATAGGAAAACAAAAAATACAAAAAGAAAACACTGCAGATGGTCATATCTTTATGTCAGTGAGGTATTTTTACACAGTATATAATTGATCATAACTTCATTTTTGTTGTTAAAAATACTTACTGTTTAAATATATATTTCACAAAGAAGTGGGACATATTAATTGATTTATTAACTACACTTAAAGACAGATGAAAACTACTATATTTAAGAGAGATGGAGCATGAGAGAGGGTGCATTCAAATAATGAAAATAACACTGTGGCAAAAGAACAATGGCGCTACATTAGACAAGTGCTGCACTGATTCTATTCGTTCTGGTGCCCGAGGCCGGACACTTGATTGGTTCAGACACCAGTCCTGCAGATCAGCTTCAGGAAATTCCTACTAAATATCCATTAAACTTGCAACAAGTCACTAATGTGTTATTATAATACCCCATGTGCATATTTCTTACTCCTCATCCCGTCCATTTTCTATGAAGTGCCTCAGAAGGCTTTGATCCGCTCATGATCAATTGATTCATATCAACACTGTTCTACTTCATCATAATCAAGTAACATAGTAGACTCTGTTGAACTGCACTTGACCCACCTACAAAACCGCTTCCTATACCCACTCCATCTCGGTCAGGCCAACACTGCTGTCATTTTTAAACCGTGAAGTTGGGTCAGGTCAATTTAAGCAAAACTGTGTGAGGTAGTGTAGTGCCAACATGGGTTTATCCATAAATGGAACTGGAAGATCTGTGACAGGAGATCTTACGATTTTTGACAAACAAGTAAATGTAGACAAGGACTCATTTTGATTAATTTCATCCCTCCCCGTTAGTGTTCCTCTGGTAACACTTGCACCCTTGGCAAAAACTTATTTCTGTGCCCAAAGATGGTCCTGGTTGGGCTTATTGATGTAGAACAAAGGTAGAAGATGAAAAAAGATCCAGAAAATCCAGTTAGAAGGCGTATTAATTACCAAGATGTTACACAGTTGTTTATATCTCTATCTTGGTGTCTGCAAAGTGACTAGTAAATTAGCCCAGGGCAACAAGCCACGCACTACATGTATTTTTGTCTACAGTAAGGTATCTGGATAAAAGGTTTTTGGCCAGGACAGTGTGTTGCCTGACAATGGGACAGCTATGTACAAGGTACAGTTCTGTATTTGTGTTTTTTTATAAAGAGTGTGGCCTGTGGCTTTGGTCCGAACCGCTATCTCTCAATCCCAGTATCACTAGTATTACCCATTAAAGGTGTCTTCTTATTTCTTCACCTTCCTAGCTCTGTCCTATCCCCATGTCTCCAGGCCTCCTGACCTCTCACCCGTCACATTTAAGCCATTCAAGCAGTCAATGCCTCTATTCAATCCCCACTGCTGCTCAACTCATATTACATGAGTGAGGTAGAGAGAGTGTACTGAAAATAAAGGATAAGAAACAGTATGAGAAGGGGAAAATAAAATAATCTGGAGACTTCATAAATTTTTCATGAATTTTCATTTAGAGTGGGAGAGCCCCCTTACAGCAATCGATAGATCAAGCTGCTGTCATGCAGTTAGCACCTGGGGGCTGCTGAAAAGCCCTCGGGAAGACAGGGGACAGGATCAGAGGCGGAGAGCAACCCCCTCCTCTCAACACACAAAGTCCATTTCCCAAAGATCACAAACCACCCACTACCCATCCTACTACCACTTATCATTGTAATCACCTTAGAAATACAGTTACAGGTCACTCCTACTACGAGGGAAATATTATTTCTGCTCAGAATATTGTCAAACCTTTAATAAGCAAAATGTTGTTTTCTGTTTACTAAGGAGAATGGGAGAGTAGCATCTTGTTAAATTGAAAATTAATAGAAGTTAATTTCACTAACTTTACAATGCCTAAAGTTCACGTCACTTATGGTTTGAAATCTCAAAGTCTCCCATCCATGTTAAATAACACAAATCAAGGGAAGCATCTAAAAAATGTGAAAATCACTAAACATACATATTATAGCAGGATTATGTCTCATGAAAATAGCCCTTGTCTGTAACACAGTCTTTTTTTACCTAAAATTACAATGAGTAAAAACATCATAAAGACATGGAGACTTTCCGCTCCGCCTTATGTGCAGTTGAGGTGCCTCGGAGCTGCTCCATAGGAAGCCCAGCCTGAGCCTCCTTGGGGGGAGGCTCATCTTCAAAGGTAATTTCATCCACAGCTCAGGTTCTGCCTGTCAGTGTTCACCAACACAGTCCAGGCAGCCTGTGTCAAATGTCCGTCAGGATTTTGATCTGTGCATGACGTTCTACCCCACCCACCTTAGAGAGACCCATGCCTGCTATGCCATCATGTCTGTCTCATTTAGTTTGACAGTAGCTTTATGTCCAAGTCAAAGGTCTGCAAACTTCAATAAAATGTTCTTGAGGTAAAAATATATAAAATTTATCTCATGTCCTGTGTTGAAAAACTCATTCTGCACAACTCATTATCCCCCCAAAATCACATGTAGTGAGACTGGGAGCTTAATTGTCCCTTATAGACCTACAGTAAATTATTACAGTGTGCAAACAGAGAACACCAAAGCAAGATGGAATGAACTCTATTCCCTACAGTAAGAACCATTTCATTTTCCATTATGTATATAAAAAAAGATTGCATAATGTTGACAGGAAATATTCTCTCTCAATTTTCTTGTGCTGAATATAAAATTATTTTCAATATATGGAAGCAGCAAGATCAAGACTTTTCTTCATCTAGCAAAAGGACTTGTGCAAAAAAATCTAAGCAATGCGCAAAGAGGAGATATTAAGAAGAGTTTTGACTCACATGCTACTTCCAAAGATGCATTACGGCTGACAGCCTCCCCCAGGTAGTTCCGGGCCACGCAGACATAGGCTCCCTCATCTGGTTTGCTCCGCCGTCCATGAACTATGCGAAGGAAGAAAAGAGAGCCACTGGGCAGCAGCATGCGGTGAGAACGAGGGTCATCTTTGTCCGTTTCCACTCGCTCTCCATCCTTGTACCACTCCACTGTTGGGGTTGGCCGCCCCTCTGCTTTACAGTTGAGAGTGGCGGGCTCCCCTTTGGAGACAATCAGGTCAGATGGGTGCTCCACGATCCGGGGTGGGGAGTCCTCCTGGCGCAGACGGGATCCTGGAGGAGAAAGAGATGCAAATCAATCATAGACGAAAAACATAGACTTTTAGCATCGTTTCAGCTCAATATTTTAATATTAATAGAGATTCTAAAATCAATAGCCCCATCTATTAACATGATAGTCAGCAGGTACACTACGTAAATAGGGAAAAGGTAGAGATTAAATTAAAAACACAACATGATTACATTCCCCATCTAGCAGGGCTAATGTGACAACCTTTGATCTACATACAACCAAAAACTCAAATTCAGGTGCCAAATCAGCACTGTTGGGGAGAAGGACATACAAGTTATTTTACTTAATTTGCTGCCACGCTACCCAGATGGGGATAAGCAATGGAAAATGGATGGAAGAACTTAACTAATAGTTACTAAAGCTGGGTTAGAAGCATGTAAAAAAACAACATATATTGGACCTTTAATCACAACAAAAGGCCAGTCAAAAGACAGCCATCTGGTCATCTCAACCCTATATGCAAGGGCTTGTGGGTAATTGGACCCATGGGTGAAGAGTGAATGGAGGCATATAGTCAGCTTACCTACTAAGTATACAGACACCCAAATTACATATTTGGCTTTCTTTAGGGTGCAAACAAGTACAACTGTTTTATATGTGATGTGAATATGAATGATGGGGGTCCAGACTAATGTCAAATGCTAATCCCCTGTGGCTCAAAACCATGGCCCACTCTTTTTTATTGGGACTTGCAGTGGGTGAGCTCAGGGAATCTGGCAGCTAAGATAATGCTCCCCAAGTCAGAGTGCAGTGTGTGTCTTCGTGACCAGGTCTTAACCACGGAGATAAGGTGTTGTAAGCCACACACGCAT